ATACCTTTTGATCTGAATGTTATCATAAAGATCCGCAGCGCTCTATATTCAACGAATAAATTACAACATTAAACATATTGCTTACAACAGTATGATGGGAGACCAGATGTTTTAAGATGTGTAAAACACAGTCTAGATTCCAGGTAAGATGGTTTTATTGTTCTACTACTAAGGTGATTGTCTTATGTATTGGATTGCCGCCGGCAATAGTGGAGGCCAACAATTTGAGGAGTTTAATATTGGAATCGATTATTTCTTGTAAACTAAAAGGCATGTTTAATTGTTTTTACTTAAGTTTTTCAGTAAGGAAGTACAATTTGAAGGAAAACTAAAAGGACCTTATTGTTCGCATATTATGTTATATCATTTTCTAGTTATAAAAGGAAATTCTTTGAACTACGACTTTGGGAAGTCGTTTTATTTGCCTTTCTGGAATCCTTATATTTAAGTATAAATAATATATTAAGTGATCTGGAAATAAGTTTGGCCTTGAATCGAAAATACTTTAAGATAAAATTTAATCAACTTAAATCCTTTCGTATGATGGTTAGAACGCTCGATTTGCAATCTCCAAGTTGCGGGATCGAAATCCGCAGTCGAGCATGCTCGCCTTTTCATCCATAGTGACAATATAATGTTATGGTCAATTCCTGTTTTCGTTGGTAAAGATAAGACTAAGTTCTGGTGGTGGGTGTTTCCAATAGGTTGTGTTCCTCGTGATCGACAGTTCAAAATTAAGGATGGCAGCAGATAGTTTTATTAGTTCTGCTATTAAGAAAGAAATCGTTGACATTTCTTAATCACTTTACAAATTTATCTTGTGAGAAAATATGATAAATATAATTTTTTCTCGTTTATGTTTTCTTTAGCACTAAGTGACGTTGAAATGACAAGATCACCTAGAGGGCGGAATTGTGATGGAGCCCGGGGAAAACGGGATCGAAATGGAAGGTAATATCACTTATCATTTCGAAAGATTTGTGATGGATGGTTATTGTTTCATGTAAATTCGAAGTTAATTTAATTTTATTAAGAATTATGTATATAGAAAAATTAAGTTACACTGATTGAGTTAATGTAAAAACAATTGACCAAATAATATCATTAAGTATTGTTGGTATTAGTTTTTTTATTGTTGTTTAGGCCTAATTAACTGTTAGTGTTACTAGTATTATTATTAATAGTGTTAATAATAACTGTAAATATCATTAGTATTAAGCTATATTTTACGTAATATAACTAATAGTAGTAACTCGACCGAAGAGTTTTGCCTATAAATTATGAGACCTTGGGGAGGATTTATTATTCATTTTCTACTTCTCTCACTCGCTCTCATTTTCAGAACAAAATAAAACGTTAATCATGAAATATAGTTTTAATCCTTGCTCAAGTATTCATCAACTTTTTAGATATTCCTTAACTTTTTAAGCTGTGTATAGATCCATTCTCTAACACTAGATAGTAATTTGTTTCACAGATTTACCTATCTACTGAAGAAATAAAACTGTCAGTACTCCATCAGTCGATCTTGTGTTCACTGAACATTTGGTATGTGTATTACCTCATTTTATATAATGTTACCATAAGCACTGTCGGAGGCATTGCTATGCACTTGCACGTAGGGCCCATGTCTCAAATCCACAGTTGGTGTCTTAAAAAATCAGAATATAAAACCATGATCGATATACTGAAACGTTGAAGATTTCTGCACCTATGGGCTCGAGCCCTGAATATTTGAAGCAACTAGCAACTCCTCTGGATTCTGTGTACATTTATGGAGGAAAGAACTTTGGGAAACTAAACACTTATAATTATGTCCAAAACAGTGTGAAATACCATCTATTGACCAGAATGCTGATAAAAGAACCTTAATTAACATTGTAAGAAATGTGAAAAATGCTAATATATTACATTATCCATGGAAAGATAATGCCAATAATAAAGAACAGAATCTTTAACATGATTACTTTTAACCATAAAACATAGTAAAAAAAAATCTTTTTTAAATATTTGGTGTGTTGTTTTGTGAATGCAAAAAATGTAAAATGTGTATAATTCATTGAGCTCGTGAATGTTTACACATTTGTTTCTGCGTGCCAGTGAAGTAATTGTGTGCCTGTCTAATTACATGAAATCATTTATATGCAAATTAATCAAATAAGTCACCTATAAGCTAAAAGTTTTTAAGAGACCTGATGTGTTTTGGCCATTTTCTTTCAGAGCTAGATGATTAATAGAATTTGATAACTGATTAAATAGTGATTGTTGATAGTTGTAAGGTTCATTAATTGATTAAATTCAACTAATTAGTTAATCTCATATGATATTTGGATAAATGGAGTAATAAAAAATAGTAGTAATTGGAAACACTAGTTTTTGATTGATTACTTTCATGAGGCATGACACTTACTGATTAAGCTTAATAACTCTGAGTTAATCAGAAATCATAATGACAATATTTTGATTACTTGCAAAGCTGGAATAATGAGAAACACTAATTTCTGTTAGTTATTTTTTGTGACATTGACATAAGTGATTCTTGGTGGTAAGCAATTAACTGAGTCAGTTGTCCAGAACTTTCTCTTTTTTTTTTTTGTAGTATTTCTAGTAAGATGCTCACACCTGCAGATGATGGTAGTGGTTTATGAAATAGGCATAACACGGTGCTTTTGTTTCAGCGAAAGATGCTTTGATAGTGCTTCACTTCAAAGTTGTCTTTCTTTAAGGATAGTCGTGTTGCTGCTGTACTGTGATGCTTGCATGAGGGTATTTAATACCATACATCTTGTTAAGTAAGAAGCTGGGTAAATTTAAATGGATAAATAATTATGTTATAGATATTCATTTTAATTTCTTCCCATGTTAGTGTCAGAAAGACAGATACATTCAAAATGTTTAAATAGAGATAAAAAAAACAATCTGGTTAAAATCCCTGAATATTGTCTGTGGTAGTGAATCTTTCTATTGGAAGGGAAGGGTTCTGTACATGCAAAAAGCACTGCTCCATTCAACATGACAAGATGCATGGTTTTGTCTGCACCCATATATCCTGACTGAAAATATTCAATCTATTTTATATATTTTGAACACTTTATGGATATATGATGCATATGTAAATTTTGTATCCTGGGTTGTGGACTACTTAATCTTTTATGCTGATGCAAGCATTAGTTACCAATATGGACTTATTGTCGATATCCCTTTGAATGTGGGCGACACAGAAGTTTAAGAGGTTAACAAAACAACTATCATTGCCATAAATTTACTTTCAGTAAGGATTAGACATATTATAAACATGGTTTATTGAGAGAGAGATGCTCAAATAAGAATCTGAATTCATTATTAATTTTCAAAAGTTGCAGTGTCCTCTTTCATCACACAGAATGATTATTATTTTTTAAACAGCTGTTGAATTGATTAGCATATGACATTCACAAGATTACTCAATATAAATGGTAATTAAGCCTGTTGGCTTAAAAGTTTTTTCCTTTTATAGTTGAATAGTTAAGTTATTCATTTCATAAAATTATTTTGTTACTCTCTTATTTATCCATTTTCTAAACCTTATTTTCACTTTTAATATATTTTATTGATTGTTAAATACATGGAAATGAATCTTAGGTTTTAAAGAAACAAACTATTGCAACATGCAAAATAATTCTAGGTTTTGGACATATTTACTGTTTATCAAAAGTAAATAAAATATTAAAAGGATATGCATATATATATATATATATATATATGTATATATAAACACATCTAAATCCTGAAAAGACTTCCAAAATGCACATAAGGCAATGGTAAATACATATAAAAATTAATCTAAAACTGAAGAACCAAAGGAAATAAAGAAGGGAAATAGTTTTTCTGCTTTGAGCATTTTGTAACTGTATTTAAGTTAGTGTCAATGAGTAGTATGGATACTAAAAGCTAAAGTGCATTCATGTTGAACACTATGCATAAGATTATTTGCTTATGCAATCATACCCAAATATAATTTTGTTAGTAGAGTACATACCATGTGTGCATTTTTCTAACATTTATACCATTTTAGATGGTGGTATTCCCAAAATGTTAAGTTGAAAATGTTATAAAAAAACTTGACCTTTTGAAAACCATAAAACTAATATTCATTTTAAGACTAGAATTAAATCATCCTTTTCATAGTTTTTTTTTAATGTGGATGATTAACCCTTTCACTACAGCTGGGACATATATTTCTCAGTGCTCTCACCTCCTCACACTGCGACTGGGAGAAATGTTTCTCATTGTCATTCAAAATTGCTGCAAGTGACGTATGGGAGTAAAGTGAGTTGGAAAGTATTGACATCCCACCTAATTTTGATATATGTTTTCCCTCAATGTTTTCCACTCAGCCCTTCAGTAACCAAAAAGATGCCTAAGCGGAATGTACAACTGTGTGCCGATTTTGCCTGCGTTGCTAGAGCAGTGAGTAGTAACCCTAATTACTGTGTAAATATGCTTAATGCACTTGACTCTGATAGTGAAAGTGAGTGGTGTTCCAATGCGTGATGATGAAGAGGCAAGAGGATACTAACTCTCCATCTAGTGATGATAGTTAAGATGATGAACCTAGACCCAACGGAGAAGGCGTAAACAGTGTTGACAATGGGAAACATTTGACTCGGTTGCAGTGAGATGGGAGCACTGGGAAATATATGTCCCAGTCACAGTGAATGGGTTAATATAGAAATGTAATTATCACGAAAAGGCAAGCAGTTCTGTAGAAAATTAGATTATTGGTTTGTCTTAGATACTTGTGTAAAGCTGTATAAGGGCTATCTATGCTAACCATCTTTACTTTTGGACTGATATGCTTGCTATAGAGGGAAGACAACTATTCAAGTTTTTTTAAAGTTTCATTATTTTTTCAAGAACTTACATAACATTACTTAATAATCATTTATGGTTATGTACAAGTTATGAAAGATACTCCAATATATATTTTTTTATTAAATTATAAATGTGTTGTAGAAGTCACACATGCAAGCAGTCTTTCCATGTTTGTGTTAATAACAATGTTCAACATTTATATATGTGTTCAAAGACTCAAAACCCCATAAATCTTTGTCTTACATTTATATGGTATGATGAACTAAAATGTTTTGAGCATTTGTATTTGTGGTATCCCAGAATATCAAAATATATTTATTGACTTCTGAGATGTATGGTTGTGCCATTTTTATATGTGAATTTTTCCATAATATTTTATACACGACTTGCCATAAATATCACCCGTTTCAACAATCCAGCAAAATAGCTTGATAGGTTGGAAAAACAAACTGATTATTATAGACATAGTTACCTAACTAAAATGAATACAGTAAAAGATTAACTTAATTTCTTTTCTAGTCTGAACCTACAGCTATAAACAAAAGCAGTAATTGAACTAGATAAATTCTGTACTGATTTGTACACAACTGTTTCCTCTGTTTAATTTTAAAGTTGTTTATTCATGGCAAGTTTGATTAATTTTGTGTAAAGTTTTCTTCTAAGTTTGAGAATATTAACTTTTAGTTATACAAAAAAAAAGATTTACACTGTCTGTATTTAAGTGTTAAAGATCTTAAGGGTTTCTTATATTTACTAACTCTTCTAAAAGACATTTGCCACAGCATCCGATTTATATATATTTATAAGATTGACTTGGGTTCATTGAACCACTGTTTACATGTACTTCCCATACATATACACATATATTTTAATTCTGATATGATAACTTACCTCTTCACACATAATGGTCTTCCTGAATTTGTGCTGCCCTCTATATGTGCAATTTTTACTTGCCTCTAGTCATGAGGCTCCCACCTAATACCACATGTTTATATGTGGTATAGCTGCATTGTAGCTTACAACAACCCTATGCCAATAGGAGTGTGACCCCCCTCCCCTCCCCTCCCTTTATACTCTAGATCACAATCATCACTTCTTGATTTGGCAATCATGTTTAATGGCATGAATGTTTTTTTTGCTTTTGAACTTTCAGATTTAGACATATTTCAGTGGAAGTATCTATAAAGACATGCTTAACAAGTGTCAGAAACTTGCACTTTGTCTGGTGTGAAACAACATGATTTTGTTCATGCTAGTATGCCAATTGTTGGGAGAGGTGATGGCTTTTGTGCGGAGGGTGATGGAGTCTTTCATGTGGCCCAAACATTATTTTGTTCCTGACACACCTCTGCCTATGTTTTTTGTTCATGACTGAAGAGATTTTATTGTTTTTTTTTCACCTACCTTTGCCTTATCTCATACCTATATTGTATTGATTCTACCTCAGCCTTTTTTCATGATTTTGTAACTAGGTTTATCAGGTTTTTTTTTTATTTACATATTCAATCATTTTTACCACTACTTTGGGGCATACACACCTTGTCCGCGTTCCTTTGTTACCTCATATGACTAGGCATGACTTTGTGCTGTATTGCTTCTTTTTGACTCCTAAAGTCTGGAGTCTTTTCTTCATATTTGGAAGTCAGATCTTTTGTCTTTTGTTCATCTTTCTTAGGCCTAGGTTCTCCTACTTTCGTCTTGCACACACACTACCCTTTTCCATTATTTTCCTTCTTTAACCTTCTTTCTGTGGTAATTCACCATTCTCCTGTGTTTTTTTTTTTTTAACTGTTGCTCATTCACGTAGTTTTACTACAGTAGTGTGTTTATCTTCCTCGACATTTTTACTTTTTACTTGGCTGATTTTTTGCTTGATTTAGTTGGGGTGTGATGCCCTTATTACTCAGTTGTTTTTGTTTTCCTTGTATATCATATGCCTTCTGGATCCTTTCATCTATCTGTATGATTTTACTGGTATGTTTGTATCTCTTGTGTCATATGTTGGGACTGCATGCCAATGTTATGCCTTATCTTCACTGGTTTACCATCTCTCTCGTGCTCCTTTACTACACTCTGTCACCACCTCCCATTCCTCTCCCCTTTCCTTCCTTCCATCACTAATAGACTTCAGCACTGTCAGTCTTAGCAGTGACTTCCATAGGCTCAGAGTCAGTTGAGCCTGTTTTGTTGGGTTTATGGACCTTTGCCCTCCATTTGTGGCCAATTGTTGAGTACTGGGATTTCTATCAGAAAGTGTTAATCTTTTTTTTTCTCTCCTCCTCTTCCATTGTCTCCTGTTTCCAATATTTTACATTCTCTAAGGGATCTTGTTTCTTGCTAACATTGGCCCTTGGCGATAATACCTATTGGATGGGTTTCTCATCCTTTTCCAGGTTTTTCTTCCATTTTCGTAATTCCCATTGAATCTGTAGATAAGTCTTTATTCTTTCATCTTTCGTGTCACAGTTAGTTTCATCTTCCCTTGCTTTCCTATTGGGAATTTCTCAACCTACAGTGGTCTTTTCCCAGGTCTTGAGATGATTGAGGTGAATGTCTCAGATGCTTTTTTTTTTCTAATTTTTTCAAGTCTCCTACAGCCATTTTATTCTCCTTGTTTGGGAGATGGTGCATCTGGGTTGGTTGGCTCATGCTGGAAGAGTCACATCTCACTCCTATTTCATTTCTCAATCATTTATATTTTTTATTTGTTTGTAGGTCAGCAGGGCCCAGCCTTATGCTCTTTTGAGAGACATGGACTGAATGGTTTCCCATGCCACATCTTCTCCTTCCCTCACTGTGTGGGAGATTCCCTCTCTTTTGGGAACTTGGGCTTCCATGGATTCTCCTGTAGTCATGCTCATTTGTGATGTATACAATGGGCTGCATCTTCTCTGGATCCTTGCTTGGGATCACTTGTCCTCAACCATTCACCTTCCTTACTCAAAGACTTCACCTGGGGACTTGATAAAACTACTCCCATAATATACCTCTTCCTTTCGTCCAGATATATTTCTGTTTCTAGATGCCAATTTGATAAGAAGGGGGCATGTTTTGACTCTCACATGAATTTGGATCAGTATTAACACAACATATCATCCTTTCAAATCCATTTCTTAGAACTTGTGGTGGTACATCAAATTTTGAATTTTTTTATTTTTCATAGATGTGTCATGATGATATATATATTCAACTCTGCAATTGCCTCATTTATCAATCACCAAGGGGACACTTTGTCTCATTCTCCCTGTTTCTACACTATAAACTTCCTATTCTGAGCCTAGTTTATACAACTATGTCTAATAGCTTGTTCTGTTCCAGATGCCCTGAGTCTTGTCGTTATAGTCTCTTGAGGCTCACCAAGATACTATCTACAGATTGGTCCCTCATCCCTCTGGTTTCAAGTTGCTGTGCTCTCAAATTCTCTTCCTGGTCTTGGGCTAGATGAATCCACCGCATACAATTCAGTCCTTAGGCTAGCTTCTCCCTTCATACTGCTGTCTGGATGTTGGTTTTTGGGCAGTCTGGTGTTGGATCAGCATAGGACCAATCTCCAGTAAAATACCTTTCTGGACTGAAAGACTGATGGGGATCATGGCAACTTCTCTTGGTCTATGCTACATGAATTCTCTCCCTTCAAGTGGCATATGGGAGACCTTTGCCACTTACCAGTGCCTCGCTGCTGGGATGGTAAACCATGGAGAACCTTTACCAATTAGAACTCAACTGCTGGGGTTAGAACAATGATACAAATACAGTTAGAAATGTTAGTGTAGTGCAGATTACCCCTCATATAAATCAGATACACCATTCGTGCCACCTGCAGCCCAAATCTGTCTGTTAGAGTTGAGGTGAGCACACACTAAATGACTGTGCCCTTCTTCTCATCTAGAGTCTGTTGAATAGAATTGAGGTGAGCATGCAATAAATATGGACCAATATTGTATAATACAATGCTTTCCTCCTGCAGATAGAATCTATTCCATAATATCTGTTTGTTTGAGTCAAGGTGAGCACTTGCTAAACAGTATCAATATAGATCTCCCTCATGTCCTTTTTTCTGCAGCTTATGTCTGTTCAGTTGAGTCAAGGTGACCATGCTGTCCCAATTTTTACTACCTAACTAACATACCTTTCTCCTGCAGCTGGTGTAAGTCCCATAAAGTCTGATGGTATAGTTGAAGTGAGCACTCTAAACAAACCTGTAATGTCTCTCTTAACATACTGTCTTTCTGCATCTGGTGTTAGTCCCATAGAGTCTGACGATAGAGTTGAGACATATGTAAGTATCCATATCACATAACAATGTGCCCTCGTACCGACTGGGGTTTGTCTATAGAGTCTGAGGGTAGAGTTGAGGTGAGCACACAACGTATGGTCTGAATGTGTCCCAACCACATTACAGACATTGGCTGTCCCACAACTTGTGTGCAAGTACTCAGATGGTCATGTTCTAATTTCCCCTGTTCCTGCAACACAAATTTGGCTTCTATTCCTTTTTCCTATATGGGTGAAGAGTATACCTTGGAACGAGACAAGATGTGGTCTTATGGAGCCCCTGCCATCAGGACACTTTCTGAAGGATGCTCATCTAGGTAAATTTTGTACCAGTCCTTCCACCATATCAGTGTGGGATTCTAGGTAATCTGTGTGTGGAGTTAATGTTCTCTGTCCCTGAAAATGTATTTCTGATACTCACCTCCATGTATTTTACCACCCATCCTCCCCACTTCCAGTGCACACATGTACACGTATATGGTGGCACACAAGTCAATTTCTGGAAGTCAATTTTTTTAAATGGCACCACTATACAAGATGCAGATTGCACATGTACATTTTCTCCTAAAGATTGTGCTGAATGTTCCACTGAAACGTGCAGAGAGTTATTTATCTTTTATTCTTGCTTTTAACTTTATACAATAAAATGTTATGCATGTCTGAAATGCTGAAGCCATCAACTTATTATTCTTATTAAATCTTTTCACAAAAACTGTGAGTTGAATATATTGAGCACATTTTCTTACCTGCCTCATCAAGAAATGAAGATTCATGAGTGCATGTGCATAGGGAGAGTTAGTGCACATGGAGGTGTGTTGCTCTCCAACTGATGGAAGGCTTTTGTCTCATGATGACATCATGCAGTGGCAGAAATTAGGTGGGAGTTACTTCAAGGTTAGTGGCATGCAATTCTCTTTGGCAGACATACTGAGAAAGATAGCTAATCTGTATGTGGAGATGAATATCTATCGGAAGTATGTTTTCATGTAAGGAAAATGTTAATTTCTGATACTTACAATGCTCGGAAGCCTCTACAATTATTAATCTTATTTCTGTGTGTTTTATGTGTTTCATAAAGTTATTTCAGTTTAGTTTGTCAATTAACAAAATATTTTTAAAATTGTCAAAAACATTTCTTTTTTTACATTTCAAACTCAAGTAAATGATGTGATAAAACTAACAGTTTATATGTTTGATGTCAAATTGATACAAACAACAACCAAAATTGAAAGTCTTATCAAAGGTTTGAAACAAAAAGATTAATATTGTGTATTTTTAGAATACAAAAGGTGAAAAACTATGGAAGAAAGATGTCCAAAACTGACCATGGAAATGCACAGTTCATAAGTTCTAACACACTTATAAAAAATACCTAATAAGAGGTTATGTAAAACTCTAAAGGTAGATTGAGTGATTTTGTTTGTAGGAAATGTACTGAAAGATTATGAGAGAAGTAAAACATCTTTTACAGAGATCGTCAAAAATGTGGAATGGGTTTTGGTTGAAGTTCCTGAAAGAAAATGGAAAATATCTATTTTGGCATCTTCTGCAGTGCTCCTGATCAGGTCCATAGTTTTATTATGACATTGGTAACGAAAGTTGTGTACATTTACAGGAAGATTAGGTATAATGCAAATAGAAACAACTTATTATTATGAGAGACCTGTATTTTTAATTGTTCTCTCATCATGAAGGGAAAGAAGATTTTGAGATTGTAGATTTTTTTTCACTGAACATTTAAGGAAATCTAAGAAGGGAGATGATATTTTTTGGCTTATTCATGGGACTGAAGAAAATGTGGTTAGAAGTTTTATTTTACAGGAATACTCCAGTACTAGTAGTCATAATATCATTGTTAATAATGTTTTTATGTTAGACTTTTGAGTACTGCGAGTTATTTTGAGAGAGAAAGAATAGGTGGATAATTGAATTGGGAAAATATTTTTCAAACATAGGGACATTTCTTTTTACTTCAATCAAAGTCTCATGAAATAGAATATATTATTCTAAAATTTTCTTTTCAACTTAAAACTCATTCCTTCATGAATAATTATTTGAATTCTTGGCAAAAATTGCCAAGTTTACAAGAATGCAAAACAAGTAAAGTGGAGGGTGCTGATGTTTAAGCACTAAAAACTATCATGAAACTAAATAGAAACAGAAACAAGTAATGATTGTCAATGTTATGTGTATCTCAACTTGTGTAAAAAAGGGCTCGCTAGTTTGCTTGTTAGCTTTCACATTTGATATTGTTATCAACTGTTTTTTTCTTCTCTTTCTCTCTCTATATGCACACATACACATACATACAAACACACACATTTATAAAAAACATTCTTTGTCTGCAAGCTACTCCATGGTCTTTGGACCAATCTCAACCAAACTTAGTACGATGATAAATTGACCAAGTGGCATGTCATAGGGTGGTTTGTTACCTGGCCAAACCCCCAGCAAAAATGTTTTTTTTAATAATGGCTCCACAGCCTTGGACCAATTTCAAATATTTGGAGTTTTTCTTCACATATTTTTTAGTTTTTTATTAAAAATGTCAAATATTCACATTTTTGCCAGGAAAAATGGCAACCAAAGCACAAGGTTAGACCCTTTAAAGTGGCTACATCTGAAAACTCCATGATTTTCACATGGTGTACTTTATGTTGGGAGTTCAAGAGCCGGATCGCCAAGAAATTTCTTTATTTTGGCCCAAGAGGAATAAAACTTGTATTGTGGTCTATGAAGAAGCACTCTGAGTATCAACAAACACTGAGTCTGTAGAGAGGGATTGGTAAAAGTAATAAAGTAAAGGAAAATAAAATAATTGTAACACCATTTATGTTATGTGGATTAAAGGAGATATGAAATAAAATAATTGTGAAGTAGCTGTAAAGCAAATTGTTTGAGAAATGAGTTATGCATATAAGTACAAATTCTTGATTTAATTTTAGTTCAAGCCCTACGTTCAATCCTTATGCTCCTGCGCATAGTATGGGTGCCTCAGCTTGTAAATAATAATGTATGTCCCTATACATTTTTCAATATTTTGTGAAGTACCATGTTTTGCAACATTTCCACAAAGAAGATTAATTATTAAGTTGGACTGTTGTGGAATTAGATAAAGCAGAGGGATGAAAAAATTTGAAGAATATAACCAGTGGCATCCTTCAGTAGTTTGTTTTTGTATTCAAATGTGATTGTTGTTAGAACCCCAAAGCTTTCAGATTAGTATTTAGCTGTGGTAAAACTTGCAAATAGACATTTAGAATTTATTTATATGAATTTTGAGCTTACTAAATTATTATAACTTTCTGTGAAACTTTGGTGATGTTTAATGTATTATCAACAGCATTCTCCCCCCACCCCTGCTATACTAAAAAATAGTGCCAAGACAATATTAGAATGATAACTGGTTTAAGTAATTTTAGCTACAAAGATAAGCTTAAAAATTTGTACTTATTTTTTCTTATTTATAGAGGCAACAAGATTCAGATGTTTAAAAATATTTAGGGATTTAGACAGTTTACGTGTTGTGTGTTTAAGTAATGTGATGGAAAAGCTGGAATTACATATGTAAGTTTGGAACTTCAGACATAGAATTGTTTTGCAGTAAAGTTGTTTATCAGTTTCAGTCATAAACTTTTGAATGGTTTGTTCGTTGATGTGGCATCGCTTTTTTCCTTTGTTTAAATGTTTTTTGAATAGGTATATGGATTTGAAGGGCTAGGTTTGATGCATTGATTGTTTGATTTTGGTGGATGAAAAAATGACTCCAGTAGGCTTAATGTCTGGTGATTTTGTGCTTTATTCTCTTTCATACCTTTTTGACCTAACATGGTCTCGTGTTACGACATTTGACTCACAGTTTGTGGGTTGTGGTTTTGAAATTTGTAACTAAAAGTGCTTGCTCTTTCCAGGGTGTGGAGTGTTATGGTGTGACAATCAATCCCAGAAGTTGCCAGTGTGTGGTGTTGACTAGCTGCCTTCCCTCTAGTCTGTCATTTCTGAGTGAGAGACAGCTAGTGCAGATAGCTCTCACAAAGCTTGGATTAAATTCAACAAACAAACAAATTATTTCTTACTCATGTAAAATCTAGTGCAAAAATGTTTAACAGCAGTGTACATGTAGCTCATCTACATTTGAAACAATTTATCTTTATTTGGTTAAAGAAAATATCACATTTGAAATTGATTAAATTGGTTTTGTTTCATTTAGGTTAGTCAAATTATTGGTCAGTTTTGTAAAATGTTAAAACTATAATCCCAGGGCTTATAATTGAGAGTGGGTGTACATTCTGATTTCTGCTGCTTTAAATCATCAGCTTCAGTTTAGCTGTTACCAGACACATTTGGATCTGTAACTGTTGCTAATCATCAACTTGATCTCAATTTTATAAAGTTGTCAGTAGTATCAGGAACATTACATGTTGTTCAGTACTTGAAAGTTCTTAGGTCTCTCAGGAGTAAGTTCTTTTCCATGATAAGACTACCTTCTAGTGGTGAAATCTAAGTATCCCTCTGTACAAACAAAATGTAAACTTGCATGTGATAAATGGCTCCTTATTCCTAAAATGGGGAAAATTATATATATATACATATATGTTTTAATAACAGATTTACACACTTCTAATTTATATCTGTGACTTGATTTTGCACTGAATTGAAATTAACTTTTTTTTTTTACATTTTCTGATTTTTGTTCTAAATGCAGTAACATCTATATAAATAATACACTTGCATTTTTCTGTATAGAACTTTTCTTGCAAGTCTCTTGATCACACTCTAGAAATCTCATATCACAAGAAAGGCCTTTGTCCAAGGAATCCAGATTGCATATTGGCTTTTCAATTCAAAATCATTTTACCTTGGGCAAACATGCAATGCAATGAGTATGGTACACGATGGGGCAATGTCATTATCATCCTGTGACAACTGGCTTCGATTTCAACTTCAGTGTTTTTATTTGCAAAGTATTTCACACAAACAACACTTAACCTACATGTAGTTTCCTTAAAAAAATTTAACATTGCATTAAGTACAGTTTCTGTGTGCTTTCTTGACTTACTTAGGTTTAAAATATGCATGTGCAGTTCATTGAAAGTTTGGTGCTGATTGATCAAGAAAGTGAAATGTATAAGAAACAGACACACATGTATTGATGTTTGTTAATATAGATTGTTGGTCCCTTTAGACACATAAAACTTTGTGACCTTAAGGGTGAACAGTTTTTTTCAACATTTGACTGATATTACTGCCAACAAAGCTATTGTTAAATTTTATTTCAGATCATTTTTGAAATGATTTATTTCTTCAGGTATCAATAACTTTTATTAAGTTAACTTTAAATGCTGTAGTAGTAGAACTATCAAGATCAGCGTATACTTGTGAAATATTACTTTATGATATACATCAATCTTAAAACTAACTAGATTTGGTGACTAACTCTTCCTGCTTGGTGCTGGTCCATTGGACTGAGCTCATAATGGACAATTATTTTTTTCAGTAATTCAAAATTTGCTGTATCTTCACAAAATTTGGTATGCTTTGAGTAAACTTTACAAGTATGTTGTACTAAAAAAAAATCAGAATTTTTATTTAAATATTTCTTGATATCTCAAGAATAAAAATACTAAAAAGTACTAAAGTATTCCAAAAAATGAAAATTGGTTTAATTTTTACATTGAACTGCAAGTTTGAAATTTAAGTTTTGACTGTTTAAGTACTGTAGCAATTACTTAGTGTGATTCTGTGATTTAAAAACAGCTAATGTGTTGTGAATATATCATTTTTAATGAAGTGGTTTATGGTCATAAGGACATTGTTTCCATCACTGTTCTTCATGATGCATGAGAAGAAATTAAAAATTGTATATATAAGTATATGTTTGACCTAACCCTAACACTATGATCATTTATGAAACCATTAAATATAAAATGTGATTGCTTACTGCAAAAAATTAGCTTAGGAAACTAAATTAAACGAACTCTTTTCATAAATCAATGGTTCTTTGCTGTAGAATGTTACAGTAGTGTAGAGAGAGAGAGGCAAAGTTAAAACTGGTTGCAAAAACAAGGGTCATCCAACCAAGCATAGTGCCTTTAAACTTTGTTTTGAAAGTTCTGACTTAGATTTTTATTTTCCCCTGTAGCAAAATTTGAGTTGTTTTCATTTTCAAGCTCAGTTGGTCACCTGCCATGTTAAAGGTGACAAACATCATTCTGCTTGTTATCCAAACTCTTGATGTAATACACTATATGCTTTTCTGTGTTCTTCCATCTCAAAATACATGATACTGGCATAAGCCAATCAGCATTCTCAGTCCTATTTTCCCTTGAAACTGTCAAAGCAATTATACATCTTGGTTATTACTCATAGTTTGTGTCAAAGAAAAAGATTGACTGTATATTGTATTAGTAGACTGGTTGATAGATTTTAGTGATGATTGGGAATGGTGGTGTGTCTTTTGTTTTGGCACAGAAAGTAATCCTAAAGTATGAAAGTTATGTACCATAAAGTGGTATAATTTTACATTACCTTTACTCATTAATTTACCTACGTAATTAGATTTTAAGCATGTGGTCAAATAAAACTTGTATATTGTTGGCCAATTCCCATAATGGAATTCATAATTCACTTAGAATGTTTCTAGCAAATAAGTTAAGCATAAAAACCTTTAGAAAAATCAGAATCGAATTCTGGCCAGAAACAAAAAGCCAATGAAAAATTTGAGAAAAAAAAAGTTAAAAACTTTTCACAAATTTTTGAGTCAGTAAGAGTTCAGTTGGTGTATGCAAGGTACCAAGACATTTTGGGATTCCTCAGTTCCTAAAGATGTAGGAAAAAGCAATACATATGTGTGTAAACATGAAAATCCTGTTAGGAATACAAATCATGACCGGCATTCAAAATGTAAGTTAAGAAAAGAAAATGTACTGAATTTAGAATAACATAACATTGAAGCACAGCATGAGAACTTTAGGCTAAATTAAACTGAATCCTGAAAAAAACCCCAAACCTAGCCCTTATCATTCAGATATATATCAAGCTTTCCTTAAACTTCCTGAAATTAATTGCATCCACCATGTCTCTAAAGGCTATATTATTTTGAATGAAGGCAGATTATTCTACTGATTCAAATTGCAAAAAATAAAATAAAAATGGTTTTCTTAGATCTGAAGAGAAAATATTATAAACTTTGAAAAATGCAATCATGATTATTTAATGCTTTAAGTTATGTGTGTGTGTATGTGTATATGTGTGTATATATATATATACACACACACACACACACACACACACACACACACACTTAATAGAAATATATAA